TTCTTTCTAGATATTTTGGGGTCCAGACTTCGGGCTAAGAACTTACTTTCTCCAGGGACATCATTTTACTGGTACAGAAATTGTGATAAAGAGTTTATACCATATTTTTCACAAGAATGTTTACTGGTTTATTGTTACAATATTGCTGAATTAATACCAATGGTAGGAACTGCAGTCTATGGGCCAAGTGAGTGGTGACTGTTTATTGATTCTTCCAACAGAAGTGTAAAAGATGTTCTCCTCCACCATGGTAACGTAACATATATACATTTGTTCCTATTGCTCAATCGGTTGACTTGAAGGAAACGTACGAAAATCTCAAACTTCTTCTTAATAAGGTCATATACAAAGAACATGGTTGGCTACCTTGTGGAGACTTAAGTCTTTTGTATGTTGATGGGTCAACAATCCAGTTATACAAAGTTTCCATGTTTTTTGTGTGAATGGGACAGCAGAGAACGAAATCAGCACTGAATAAAGAAGCAATGGCCACGCAGAATAAGCATCATACCAGGATCGAAGAACACTGAACGTGAAAGTTTGGTTGACACAAAGAAAGTCCTATTACCTCTACTTCACATAAACTGGGCTTCATGAAGCAGTTTGTAAAGGCCTTAGACAAAGATAGCGACAGTTTCAAGTATCTATGTGGGCAATTCCCGGCTCTTTCAGAAGCAAAACTTAAAGAAGGGATTTTTGTTGGGCCTCAGATTAGGAAATTGACTTTGGATGAACAGTTCAAAAGGGCAATGAGGAAAGTTGAAAAAGAAGTGTGGATTGCCTTTAAAGATGTTACTGACAAATTTTTAGGAAACAACAAAGACTCAAATTACGAAAATATTGTCAATAACATGCTCAATAAACTCAAAGAGTTGGGTTGTAATATGAGATCAAAAGTTCATTTCTTACACTCACATATTTACTATTTCCCTAAAAATCTCAGTGCTATGAGCGAAGAACAAAGGGAAAAGGTTTCACCAAGATATCAGGGAAGGTGGAATATCGGCATGATGGCTGATTACTGCTGGTCATTGAAATGAGATGCTTCAGACAATACACAAAAGAAAGACCACAACACGTAGTTTTGAGACTAAAAGATGTAGATTTCACAAAAAAAAAACAGGATGAATGAAGATGCATATTTGTGTAACATCAGCGTTCTTCCCTTTTCTTCAGATTGTTAACAAACATAATAATAAAAAATGTTCATCGTGGTGAACAAAATAATAATTTTATCTATGTAAGCTTTTTTTCTTCCTGATTTGTAAAAAATCCTTATATGATTGAAAAAAAATGAATATTATTTTCGAAATATGCATAGCTGAATTTATTAAAACCAAAACAACTTTATGAAGTTTAAATTCACAGGCCTGTGTTATCTATAGAATTTGAAAACACCTATAATTCTTAAGATCAAAGGCATATCTCTGGTAACATGCGATAATACACTACAATCTATCAGTAACAATATAAGCTACAATGTTATACATGCAAGCACAATACTTAAATATTACAATCAGCATTCGTCTTCAGGATGTAACAATTTATAAGTAAGCAATAAATGATGCAAATACTGCCCTGCATTAAGAACGTAATGTACCACATGAGGCACATCTGAAGATTAACAGATAGCTTTTAATTCAAACACAAAACAATATTTTTACAATTCAGGTATGAACAATGTTAAACTGCAAATGAAAATACAGATTAAATGTTTTGAAAAATAATACATTTTAATATGATGAAACTTGACAAATACATCCCAAATTAAAAGTACCACGTGCAGTTTTAAGTACAAATAAGTAGAACATAAAAAGCCATTGTATTCTTACGCTTTTTTTATTTCTTCCGTAGTAGCTGTACGTGGAATTTCAAGAGCTTCATAATAGTCAGCCATTTTTGAGCAGAACTGCAAAATATACAGTTCGCTCTATACAAACAGGTGTCTCTTTCTGAAACTGAAAGATTAGAATAATACAATCAAAACAGCAAAAGAGCCAGAAACTAAAAATTCAGATTTCAGCATTTGTAAAGTACATTTTCTTAATTATTATCTACAAAAATGTCCTTCAATGGCTACAGGTGCCATCTATTAACTAGAACTCAAGTTCCTAGTACAAAGTATTTTTAGCACCTTCATTGTTCCTAAACGACTACTACCATCTGTATTTTTGTTTAGTCAATGGCAGTTTTACTAAAGTTGATGATATGTGAGAAGAAATTAAAACAAGATGAAAAAGTCTTGTTAACATGACTCTTTGCTGTTCAATTACAAAAGATCCATCTTTATTACTTCAGAGAAGAAATAGACGATATTCTTCATTGTTAAAATTTAGCATCCTTGTAAATAGGAATAACTAGTAACCTATTTGTTAATTCTAATTCAAGTACTTCCAATAATACCGGAACTTATGTAACTTCTTCGGAGGCCTTACTCGTGCAGTCTGCCTATCAAACTCTTACTGATCAATGTATTTGGACCACTAATGTCGAATTATCTGCTGATGTCCTTGGTGGGTTTCATAATTCTATGGATGCTCAGTTTGCACAACATTGTCATTTTCTCATGAATCGGAACAAGATCAATATTTTGCTCAGATTTATCTGCCTTCAGAGCAGGATGAATCATACTCTTCGGATCTTGCTTTGGTTACTTTAACAGATTGGCTTGTGCAATTGATTCGTTGTTAACTGGGATATTAACATACATCTTGAAAATGAAGTTTGAGTTACGTCCTTCCAATCTTTGCCCAACGTCCCTTTGAACAATTACATGGACATCTGGTGCCATTGAATCATTTGAATTAAAAGCAAAACATGGTCTCTTTATAATACAAGATTCCATACTTAAAGAGATCCATCCATGTGAAAGTTGCATGTCAAGTATACCTTTAGACAGTCCTACACAGAAATCCAACCTCTGTGTTGTTGCTCCATGAGAGAGTGATGTCATGTCAAGTATATCTTTAGACAGTCCTACACAGAAATCCAACCTCTGTGTTGTTGCTCCATGAGAGAGTGATGTCATATCATGATATTGTAGGCCTCCTTCCTAGCATGATTCAAAGTGAAGCCCCCATGCAATTGCATGGGTTGCACCCTCCCCTCTAAATCCAGCACAGCTTACAAAAACAACAACCAAATGTCCATGTAACTATTGCTTTTTGTTACACTTGCTACATCAACTTTCCACATGATTAAACATGCTACAATGTTTAAGCACTAAAAATCAACACCACTGTATCATTACAAATCCATTACATCAGAGCAGTCCACAAAAAAAATTAATACCATCATCCTGGTTGTTTCACCCACTGAGTTTTGTTATTATCCTAATACGTTAAACAAGATGTTTTAAATTGTTTAATGGTACTGAAGCATGTTTATCTGATGGCAGCCCTATTACTCACGATTCAGTTTTCTTAAATTCCTTTAAAGTTTTAGAAGTACTTTACAACTATATATTTAATACCAGGAGTTAAATCGAAATTTACAAATAAATTACACAGTAGACAGTGAAAGTTGGAATAAAATTCAATTACTTAAATTATGAGTAAAACCACTACCAAACTTTTATTTATAATTTAGATAACTGAATTTTTTTTTGGTACTCAACATCACAGAATGGGCACTGTTTTGAGGCAAGAAAACATTTTTTCTACGTTCTGCTTATGTAGCTCTTTCCAAACCTAATCCAACTCACTTAGAAGTACATACAGCACCATAGTTCTAATTTTCATTAACACCAAAGTTTGTTTTATCTTAGAAGTACATACAACAC